AGCATGCATACACTCTTTCCAGTTTCAAAGCAAACGAAAGGAAAAACAAGAGAGAGGAGAGAGGGTGTAGAACTAGTGGGTTCATCGAAAGGTCGGTTTCTTTTGGAGGGTAAAAACAAGCACTCGATTAGGAGTGAGAGAAGGAGGAGAGAGATAGTAGGTGCTCTCAAAACTCAAGCTTTGGTCCGCGTGCTTGGATGAAAGGAACTGATGGGTCTTGGTTTGTGCCAATGGCCCACTAGTTGATAAAAAAGATCCTTGGCAGTGCCTTTGTGCAGTTTTTGTTCCTTGATTTTGGTTTCTACTCCGGACTGTCCTGTGGGGGTACTCCTCTTCTGCTTTTGTTCCCCTTCCATCATTGGACTGGACTGGATTGGATTGGATTGGATTGTTTGTTTGTTTTCTCATGGGATTCTCACAAATGGGTTACTCAATTCCTTGGATTTTCAGATAAAAAAGTGAGAGATTTCTTGATTTGGGGTTCTGGGTTTTGCATTAAACATGTAAAAGTTCAAATATTTGGGGTAAAATACTGAGAAATCGGCAGAGAAATGATGGGTTCGGTGGAGGAGAAGCTCAAAACTGGATGCTTGCTTGATGAGATGAAGCTGCTGAAAGAGCTGCAGGACCACTCTGGTTGGTTTGTTCTTCCTTTTTGATTTTAAAAAGTTTGAATCTTTCAACGGATCTTTTTTCAAGTTACCTCAATTAAACCGCATTTTCATTAATTGTTGTCGGAAGTTTGTTATAGGTTGTGTCTTTGGTTTGTTTCAGGGACCCGGAAGGCTATAAATTCGGAGCTATGGCACGCTTGCGCCGGCCCGCTTGTTTGCTTGCCGCAGGTTGGGAGTCTCTCGTACTACTTCCCCCAAGGACATAGCGAACAGGTTTCAAATTGTTGTCCGAATATCTGCAATTTTGATGTCTTTCTGTTTGTTCCATGGTATTTGAGGAAACTGATGAGGGTTTTGCTGCTGAAATGTAGGTGGCGGTTTCGACGAAAAGAACGGCAACCTCACAAATTCCGAACTATCCCAATCTCCCTTCTCAGTTGCTATGCCAAGTTCAAAATGTTACACTGCATGTATGTATTTTAGCAGATTGTCACTTGCTTTCTATACACACGAGCATACTGTCAACGAAGTAGGAAAAAACAATGATTTTAAACCGTGATTTATGTTTCCAATAGGCAGACAAAGAAACCGACGAAATCTATGCACAAATGAGCCTTAAACCAGTGAGCTCTGTAAGTTTGATTACTATTGTAATTCTTAAATTTGTCACATTTTTATCTGTTGTTAACAATTTAAGTTCGAAAATATGATGTGACGAATATTTGTCGTTCGGTCAGGAAAGGGATGTCTTCCCGGTACCGGACTTTGGAATGAGGCCTAGTAAACATCCATCTGAGTTTTTCTGCAAAACTTTGACCGCAAGTGACACAAGCACACATGGAGGGTTCTCCGTGCCGCGTAGGGCAGCGGAAAAGCTCTTTCCTCCGCTGGTGAGGGGTTTTTTTTTCTTTATTTTGTCTACCCATTATTGTAATTGGGAAATTTTAATCAGAGGAGGATGTGGATTTACATTTTGCTTGTAATTTATGCCAGGATTTCACAATGCAGCCACCAACCCAAGAACTTGTTGTCCGAGACTTGCACGATAATACCTGGACATTTCGCCACATTTATCGCGGTGAGAATGCTTAAGTATTCGTTTCTATTTCATGCTGTAATATGTAGTTGAATTCAACTTATTGGTTCTGGAAGATAGTGTTCGAGTTTTTAACTATATATAGTGTTGTCTCTCTGTCGAAGTATTTCCAGTTTAATATTACATGCATCTGCCAGCGGTTCGTTGGATTTCTATTTTTTGAGTATATCCTGTTTTTGTCCATCCATGTAGGGCAGCCGAAACGACACCTTCTCACAACTGGATGGAGTTTGTTTGTTGGTGCAAAGAGGCTTAGAGCAGGGGATTCCGTTCTATTTATCAGGTACATCGGAGTTACATCTTAAGCTTTGGTGATGTGTTCGCCAAACCCTCGCAGATAGTTTACGTTGCGAAGCTACCACTGTTGTCTGATTGAACATTTTTTTTCTCACCATCACAAGGGATGAGAAGTCGCAGCTATTGATCGGTGTGAGACGAGCAAATCGTCAGCAAACAACATTGCCGTCATCAGTTCTATCTGCTGATAGCATGCACATTGGTGTCCTTGCTGCTGCGGCTCATGCTGCAGCTAATCGGAGTCCATTCACTATATTCTACAATCCAAGGTCCGCACGATGTGTGTTCGTTTCCCTATTCATATTTCATGTCTTTTTCAGAATTTTTTCTTGACTACTATTTCTACTCAACCGTAGGGCATGCCCTTCAGAATTTGTCATACCTTTGGCCACCTTCCAAAAGGCTGTATTTGGGACACAGCTCTCGATTGGCATAAGGTTTGGAATGGTGTTCGAGACAGAGGAGTCGGGCAAGCGCAGGTAATGGATAACATCGTCGGTAACTTGTTACAGAATCCAAGTTTTTTTTTTTTTTAAATATTTTCAATGGTGAAAAGAAGGCAGCAGGTTTCAATATGCTCTGCGTACTATCACTTTAATGGGTGGACGGAGGTTAACATTTTCCATGATCTCTGCAGATATATGGGCACGATAGTTGGTATTAGTGATTTAGATCCGCTGAGATGGCCTGGTTCAAAATGGCGAAATCTTCAGGTAGAGTGGGATGAGCCAGGGTGTTGTGATAAACAGAACAGGGTTAGTTCATGGGAAATCGAAACTCCGGAAAGTCTTTTCATATTTCCTTCTCTGACTTCGAGTCTTAAAAGACTGATGCACTCTGGATTCTTGGGTAAGTTTTACTTTCTTCTGTTTTCCAGCAGGCAACTCAGTAACATGGTTTTCTTACTACTGTTTTCGCGCTAACAGGAGCAGAAACCGAATGGGGAAATATGACCAAAAGATCATTCATCCGGGTTCCTGAGATTGGAAACGGGAACTCTTTTCCATACCCGATTTCAAATCTATGTTCGGAACAGCTAGTCAATATGCTAATGAAACCTCAGCTTGTTAATCATGCTGGAACATTAGCTACTCTACAACAGGAATCGGCTGCTAATGTAGATTCAGTAGATATGAAGGCCATGCAGGCCAAAATCAACCAGAAGAATCCAGCTGATGGCGTAAACGCGAATGCACCATCTCATGGAATTCCACCGGGAAATCTGAACACCGTAGCCAAGTTTGGAAGCCAAGCACCAGTTGGAAGTAGCACTGAGAAGATGAAATCAGAACCTGAACTTTCTGCAGATCAGTTAAGTCAGTTGAGTTCGGCAGGGCAAGGCATCGAGGATAAATTAGCTGCAGGGTTTGCGAGTCCCTATAACCATATGAATCAGCTGACATTTGCCAACCAAAACCCCAGTTCAGCGCAACTACAAACTAGTCCGCGGCCTATGCAGCCTTTGGATTCACTACTCTACCACTCTCAACAAACTGAATTACCTCATTCGGATTTCAATGGCATGAACAGTTCACTTCCATTCCTAGACAATGATGAATGCATGTTTTACTCTTCTTGCCTACCTTTTTCTGGGGCACTCAGATCACCGGGTCCTTTGTCTGCTTTCGGTTTACCAGATTCTTCAACTGTTTTAACTGACGCAAATACTTCCTCCCTAACTTCAATCGGTCAGGACATGTGGGATAATAGCCTCATTAATTCAAGCAGCCTGAGAGATTTGTCGGATGAGAGCAACAATCAAAGTGGGATCTACGGCTGTCCGAACATTGATGTTGGTAGCTGCTTAAGTACTGTCGTCGACCCTTCTGTCTCAAGCACTATACTCGATGACTTCTCTACGCTGAAGAATGCCAACTTCCAGAATTCTTCGGATTGTTTGGTTAAAAACTTGAGCTCAAGCCAGGATCTTCAGTCGCAGATTACCTCGGTGAGCCTTGGAGACTCTCAGGCTTTCTCTAGGCAAGACCTGGCAGACGCCTCAGGCGGTACATCCTCGAGCAATGTAGAACTTGATGAGAGCAGTCTACTGCAGAACAGTTCGTGGCATCCGGTGGTTGCACCTGTGCGAACCTACACAAAGGTAAGCAATTTTATCGAATTGAATCTTCTATTGTAACGATTTTGACCAAGTTCGTGTATCTCTCATGCCGAGCCTAGAGTGATGAGTTTGGTTTTGGTTGGCAGGTTCAAAAGACGGGATCTGTTGGGCGGTCAATTGATGTTACTAACTTCAAAAACTACGAAGAACTATGCTCTGCAATCGAATGCATGTTCGGACTGGAAGGGCTGCTAAATGATCCAAGAGGTTCAGGGTGGAAATTGGTTTATGTAGATTATGAGAACGACGTTCTACTTGTCGGGGATGATCCTTGGGAGTAAGCAAACCAAAACTTCTGCTATAAATTTGTGTTGAAAGATTGTACCGGTACTTCAACTCAACTTTGATTGCCGTCATTTGTTAATATTTTTGCAGGGAATTTGTTGGTTGTGTCCGCTGCATCAGAATCCTTTCGCCTACTGAAGTTCAGCAGATGAGCGAAGAAGGCATGAAGCTTCTGAACAGTGCTGCGATGCAAGGGATGAATAGCACCATGTCCGAAGGTGGCCGTCCCTAAAATGGCCGCCACTGCAGCTACAATCGCGCACAATGGTCCAGACAGGTTGCACGTTAGGGTTTGCAACTAGGATGCAGTGCTGGGCAAGTTGATGTGGGTGCCAATGTACTTTAGCTTTTGTGTTCTAGGCGAAGTTTGATGTACTAATAACTGACATTAATTAGCAGGAAGTGAAACTTGCAAGGTGCTTTAATAGTGTAATGGAAAACTTTTGTGCTTCTTAAAACTTCTATATCTTCCGCTAAACACGAACGAGTTTATCATGCAGAAGCAATTGATGCAGATAAACATCGAAAGCGTTCCTCTGCTAAACTGGGATAGATGGCTAAATTATTCAGAAGAGTATGCGTCTTTGAATGGTAAAATGAATCAAATATCGATGCCGTTGTACATTTAAGAATGAATACACTCTGATTTTTTCACTTCCTAACAATTCATTGTCTAAAGAACAGAACAACTAATACTCCCTGAAGTACAAAATAACAGATACGATAGCTTACAAACTACAGAACCGATTCCATTTTCTACCACCAGCTCTTATTGCAATGTCAAAGGCATATCACGAGGATGTTAAAAAGCAATGAACCTGCACAAATTTCGTGCGAGGAAGCATATAGAACATCAAATTTTTGCTACCTAATGCAGTTTCTTGCGAGAAGTACCTGGTCATCATACTCTAACTGGTTTCTGCAAAACGGCAGACAAATAGATCTCTGATTTGCCTGACCCTGCTGCCTCCGCCTTCTCCCCGACAACCCATTTCAGCTTTTTATATCCAAACCGCTCGATCAATCTGGTTAAATCCCTCTTCTTTTCATCATCGGAGCCATAAAAGTTGTCCAACCAAAACAGACCTCCAGGCCTCAAAATGCGGTCGATGTCAAACATCAAGAACTCAAACTTTTCCGGTTTTGCCGCAACATCCAATCCACTAGCGGCATGAACCATATCGAACACATTATCATAGAAAGGAAACCTATGATCCAAGCTCAAAAACAGAGGGAAAAGCCCTCTTGCTGCTATGAATTCGCTAAACGGGGCTCCGATATTCAATGTGTTGGTGATCACAGTCATGTTCCTCTCTGCCATTCTAGCAGCAAAGGTACCAGACCCACCTCCAATATCAAATCCTATTCTGATTCCTCCACTCCCCAAAGCTAAAACATCATCAATGAGGAAATCATTCTTGCTCCTAGCCTTAACATATCTCTGGGTTTCGGACCCGTTAACCAAATCGAAACAACCAACGCAATCCCTACTCAATTTCTTAACATTCAAGCATTCAAATTTCTTGCATTCAAGGCCACTCCAACTCACAATCTTATCACTAACAGGTTTCCAAAGCGAAATCGGTAAAGGGTGTAAACCCACCTTAGTAACTGTCTTGGCAAAGCACCTCCGTCGCGGCAGAGGCTCGCATCCCCGCAGAATCAGCTTCTGGGCAAGGCTCCAATCGTCGGGGCAGGGCCCGGAGACCCTGTAGTTCATGTACTGTGAAAGCAAGTCGGCGGATTTCTCGCAGGAATGGCCGACGGAAGCCACCATTTCCGTGATCCCGGTTTTCGAATCTTTTCCGAGAGGGAGCTGGTGGTGCTGGAGGAAGACTTTGAGCTCGTTCGCGACATTGCGTTTCGAAAGATCGATGCTTTTGTATCCAAGGAGCTCCTTTTCCATCTGGGCAAGCTTCTTTTGCGACGAATCGATCTCGCGGAGGATCAGACCGACCTGCTCGGAGATGAGGGAGATGTTCTTCTGGGTGTGGTGGAGGAGGTGGTACGTTTGGTGGTCTTTCGGGGCGGATGTGAAGGCGTAGAGGGCGAAGAGGTTGGTAGTGATGACAGAGAAGAGCATGAGGAGGTTGACGGCGGAGGAACAGAGCGACGCTCTTCGGAATCTGGCGGTTCCGTCGCCGATCTTGAGAGAAACAGAGCCCATCTTGGCGGTGTGAGTGAGTGAGATTTGGGGAGTGATTTGACTGAACAAACACTCACTCAGTGGGGGGTGGTTGAGAGAAGGATTAAAGAAATGTCAAGTGGGATTAGAGAGTGATTTGTGAAGTTAAGACAGGGTTAACTTATCAAGACATTGTCGGCTGCGATTGTAACGTTTGAAGAGCGTAAAATGGGGTATACTAAATGATGACGTGGTTCAAGAAAAACTAGATAAATTTGTTCGACTTAATTAAGCTTTCCAAAAATCAGAACTTTGTTTAATTAGCACAAACTCTAATTTTCTCTCTTACAGCAAGAATTTTCCTTCTTTGGAGGTGTTGGGTGCAAGTTGGATTGGAAATTACGATTCTTGCTTTGATATACATCCGCATCAAACACAAATATTGTATAGTTTTCGAAATTTCAATATATTCTGCAGAAAATTTTGCCAAAACTGATATCAGTACGGAGTTACGTTGAGCACCTGTATATCATATGGAGAAAGAAGGGTAGGTATAACAATATAAATTAAACAAATTTTGACAAAATCTAGCTCAAAAGGCAATTTTGAGCCACACTAGGAGGCTCCGCATTTAAAAGATGTACACACAGGAAGTAGTAGTAGCGAGACTAACTGCTGATCTCCCTATCCATTTTCATTCTCTTTGTCTTGTGCACCTCCGGCACGCTACTACCTCGTGGCTGGAACGATGCATCATGCTGGAATGTGCAATTTGCTCCTTTGTTGCATCCCCTTGCACTGTTGAAGTATATGCAAGGCTTCATATTCTTGGGCTTTGAATCTCTTGGTTTGTAGTTATTATTGGATTCTTGGTTTACAGATGAATGATCGCTATGTCGGTTTCCAAATGGTGGAAAGTTGTCCTGCCTGTCTCCTCCATGTTGTTGAATCAAGTTTTTATAGTAGTTGATGTCCTTTGCTAGTGGAGGTGGTCCAACAGAAGGCGAAGAATGAACTGAAATTGATGCAGGAGGAGGTAGTCGTGCATCAGGAAAATGTCCCGTTCCAGCAACATGTGGTGGGGGATAGAAATGTCCACTTGATGAAGGTGTGTTGATTTCTGTCCTGATCATGTGAGATGAATCTGATACGCCCATTTGGGGTGGCCTTGTTATTGGTTGTTGATCTGTAACCAATTTCTCAATCATTTTCGGGTTGTTGAGAATCTTAATGAGCAATTCATGATCAATCATATTTCCGTGCTCATTGTTATTCACAATTGCACCAAGGGCAGCAGCTACAACATCAGGTTCTGCTGCAATAGGCATTCCAAGTGTTGCAGGTATGTGGTTTCCATTGTCAGGAATACTGTTTTGAGATGGAGCCGAAATTCCCTGAACGGATAGAAAGGACTGCGAGCTTGTGGAATTGTTAAACGGTTCCACGGATTCGGATGAGGCTTCACCTCCTGCATCTTCGTCTTCAATAGGAGTAATAGGTATGATAAGAGGTTGCCCACCAGTATGACTAGAGTCCTCAACATCTGCCAAAACAGAGGGGCTGTGCACAGAAAAAGAAATACTGTTAGAATTCATGGGTGGGTGGAACTTAAATCCAAAATTGTAGAAAGCAAAGTGACGAACTTTAAAGGAATGGCAGATGGCCGTGGATAAACAGCTTCCAGTACTCTTATCTCTCTCTGATTTTGAATCTCCATCTCTTTGCTTTCGTCCCCAGAAACCACTTGCCAAGTGAAGTTTAGCACAACCTGTTCAAATTTAGTATAATTCGAAAAAAAAAATGTATTAACTAATATTCAATATTTTTCAAGGCATACATGCTATTGAAACAAGGTATATTGGTCAAGATTAAAATCCCAAGCCAAAGGTTTACTTTACCTTAGGAGGGCATCTCCATTTGATCAAAGGAATTTGAGACAAGTCAATCTGCGGCTGATTTGCCGGATGAGCTCCCTCAAATCCAGGGGGTAGAGTGTCATCTGAGCCTGTTCCAGATGAATGTGACGGCCAAGATGCCTTCACTTGGAGGTGATCTTGAGCGCTCAGCCCAACTTGCGAAGGAGATTCCTCCAAGAGAAACAGCTTTACCTGTTTAACAGAGAAGCATCAGTACGATAACCATTTAAACTACCATTAATATATCAACATCGTTGATCATCATTTTCCACAAACTTCTTCAGAATGCTGAGCGTAGATGCACAGGGAAACTTCAGAAATCTTTGGCATAACTTCTCCTTTAAATAATAACACGACTAAAATCTTAAAGCAAATTATGAAAATAGAAGTGAAAAAGAAAAAATGCACAGATGGAAGAAATAAAGATCATAGAAAATCAATTAAACTATACTAGAGATTAACGTGAATACACATCACTGCATTTAATCCTCCCATGTCCATCTCCACCCAGTCACTTGTAATCAGTTTGTTCGAGATTGTACTGGACACATCAATTCGTACATAGCTCAACAAAAATCAGATTTAGCATGGAGGATTTTGCTAACCATATAGGGCAATGAACTAGACAACCCACTTCTTAAAACAAACTTATTTCGGCCAACACTAATACGAGCAAGTTCATCCAATAATGAAACAGCGCCTAGAGTAAAGAAGTGGCAGACATCACAGTAAACTCTAGATGGCTTTAACAGAATTATTGATGTTGTATCAGAGAGATAGGAATCATCTGAACATAGTTTGAGAGTGACTTTTGACTAAATATTTAAGACAAGGTTGAACAAAAAACCAGCACTTGCCATAAAAATAAAAATAAAAATAAAAAATAAATAATAAAAAAAAAAAGACGACAAAAGATGCATCACGTATCACACTCTGAGAGGTGATATTAATGCTATCCGGATGCACACCCAAGACCCCAACAAGCCTTTAGCTTTGATAGCTTTGCATGCCCCAGCAGATAATGTGGAAGTTATCCTTATGATATGGCCCTCCCATGTTGGAAGTGGCTCAAGTCTTGGACTTATTCTCCTCTTCAAACAAAGAGAAAAGGAACAACTTTAGAAAGAAAATAACAAAGATGACACTTCTGAGTAACTTAACTTCATGTTTATGCAATGACACAATAAACTCTATTAACAATACAGCCAAGAAATTTGAAATAGAAGTTCCCTAATGAAATGATTCAACCTTTCTCAAACACAAGAACCTTTCACATAATTTGTCATGACAAATTATCACAACAACAACAACAACAAACCATTCACGAACACAACTATGGCAGACTACCAAATGCAATCAATTCAAAAAGAGAAATGCAGAAGTGGCCACTGTATTCAAATGCACGCCGTCAAAAAACCTTGACAAAACAAAAAACTCAAGTTTTTGGCCCTTTTCTGATGGTTTTAGAAAAGTCAGTCACCAATCCAAATAAAGCTATTCAACAAAGTGCTACACAAAATGACCAGGTTTATGATAATGCTTATTCCATTCATTTTATCTAACACTAGGAAACTACAATCACCCCACTATTCTATTGTTCTCGTAGAACCTTTTTAGCAGGAAATGAGAACACTTCTCTGGTGAGAAGTCACGGTTGCAAAAGACCAATAACCTTATAATTCCTCAAAAAATATCTAACTTGCATATATTTCTTATTATCCCCTTTTATTCCCAGCATGGCCAGTTATCAATCAACATTCTCAAAGTTGCTCCAAATTCAGTGAAAACTAGTTTAACAATTAGCTTGTGATTTTCGCATTCATTTACGTGTAATTCATTTTAAACCTCATTGCATATTATCTTCTTTTGAAATTATATTGGAGAAAGGGCGACCAACTTACGAATTCTTCATAAAAAGTTTCAATGTTGGTATTTGTACACAAGAATGCATTTGTATCTAATCTCACTTTCTTCTTCATAAGTTGCTAATCTTTCAAAGCTTTAAGCCACTTTTTCTCAAAGAATGATGGATTGCTGCAACGATGCAGATATTGCCTTGGTGTTCAATGGTCATTCTCGCCCTAAAGATCGTTAAGTGATCCAATGGTTGTGCTTAACACTGTTCCAATTGATTAATTCATCAAACAGAACCAAGACAACAACTTCAAACTTTACCTTTTCAAAATTTACAGCTTTACGAAAAGGTGGAAAGTAGATTAAGCTAAAAAGGTTAACCTTGTTTCATCACTTCATATTCTGCTTTTCATGAATACACAATACCAATTTCATAAGGAAACATGGGGCTGTACGAGCTGCAGATGCAACACATTCCAACATTTAAGTCTTAATGAAAAAATCTACGATGGTTTTATATTGATTGGGTTCTGATTTCCAAACACAAAATTGTTTAAGAAGCCTATAGTAATTCCTTAATGATACATTCGACTGATTGAGCTGCAGAGGATACAAATTTCAACGTTAAGCCTCAACAGAAAATAAAAGATGGTCCATATTGAGTGGCTTCTGATTTCTGAACACAAACTTCGCATACAAATTCAGAAAAAGGCTTTCTTTCTCCATCAATCTTTGTCAATTGTCATATGACACTGAGACCAACTTATCATACACATGCAATGCAATGCGACACAGAATCACTTCAAACGAACGAAACGATTACCAAAAGTGGAGAACTTTAACATACATTTTCTAACAATTCATCAACTCCAACGATGCAGCATATAACTACACATCATAGCAAACCAATACATATGAATACATATCAAACAAAATAACACAATCCACAGAAGTTCAGATAGCTGATTCTTTTCCAGCTCATTTCGCATTCAACGAACAGAAACTACTGAATCGACTATTATCATCAGATTTGGTCATTGAAAAATGCATTCTTTACCTGACAAAGATTAACATCTGAAGCCCAAGAAATCCTTTTCGTTTTGTGCAATCCCCGCATGTTAAACAAAATCCCCAAGAACCCTTCTTTTCCTGCTTCGATTCCAACTTTTAGTCACAGTTTCAAATTCAGGTCAACAATTTCGGGTCCCAATCGAAATCTAAAACCCCTGCAGCTCTCTCAGATTCGAAACCCTAGTTCCTACTGCGTCGTCGGCGTCAAAAATCCCCTTTCTATAACTTAACCCTAACCCTAACTGTACAGATTTAACGCGATCCAATTGCAGAGAGGCTCTCTGTGCGTCGCGAAACGGCGATCGCAACCATGGCGGTTCGTCGAACGGAACGGAACGAAACGCTATAAAATAAAATTCCTCTGGTTTTGGCCTTCGGCG